AGGAAAGCATCTGGCAAGGTTATAGCCTTTCTTTGCTGTTGTCTCAACAAATTGCTCAGTGCAAAAATAATATGAAATTACTCCTTAACTGTGCACAAATTCTATTGAGTACACAGTGTGCTTTAGTTCTCTGCTGGCAAATTGGTTAAATGCCTGGCTCTCTTAACTGCCGTACAAGCTCTCCAGACTGTTTGCAAGACTTCATTTGGAAAAAACCCCATCTGATATCCATATTCCTCCCAATGGGGAGCTGTTGTACTGAGGCTGGTGGGACGCACTTAAAGAGGTCTTGTCAAGTCTTGGCAGCAGCGTGGGGAAAAGCCTTACAGCTTTATCTCAGAACACCCAGCAGGTTGGTTTGCTTTATTAATTTGAAGTACTGTGTTCCTGATGGGGTGCTACAGTTTATGACTGTACTGCCAGATAAAGAACACGTCTTCATGCAGTACCATTTTAGCCACATACTGGGACTACCAGTTAAGTGTTATGCATTAAGCGAAATAAGTGAGCCAGTAAGTGTAATTTTCAGAGTGGCCCTTACTTGCGTAGGGTTTGATGTTCACACAAAACAACAAGCAGAGCCCTTGGGAATGTAAAGTCCAGCCCTTAAGTTAGAGCCAGAGTAGGGAGGGACATAATCTGTCCATCTGTGAGTGCTGTCCCAGCTTTGTTGGTATAAGAGCAATTTCAGTGCTGTGTTTCCTGTGGTTGATTGTATGTCTGGTCTCCTGCTGCCTTCTCTCAAGCAATGGCACTTATCAACTACAGGGGCCATTGAAGAACTATTTTTATAGTGGCAACCTAGGTATCTTTGTGTGGCTGCTCAGCTGCCTGGCCAGCTCTTAAGCACGTCCATTAACTTGATTAGTAACTCACCAAATGTTGATGCCCCCATGGATTTTTTGTCAGTAATAAGAGAAGTGCTGGTATTCTGCAGGAATTTTGCAGAGAGCCTGCTGAGAGTTATGTAGTCAAAAAGAAACAACCCTTCTGGCAGAGATCTGTTCAAAACAGTGAAGTTCAGCAGCATTATTATTCTGACGACTGTCCCCGAGTGCTCTGATGCACGCACTATTTTGTTAGTGTCTGGAGTTCATTCAAAAACGGTTTCAAAAATTTTTGCTTTTATCATAGAGTCAGAGAATCACAGAAGGGACCTTAAAGCTCATCCAGTCCAACCCCTGCCATGGGCTGGGACATCTCCAGATACAGGAGGCTCAAAGCCCTGTCCAACCTGGCCTTGAACACTTCCAGGGAGGGGGCATCCACAACTTCCATCTCATTTATGTCAATGCTTTTTGTACTTAATCCACGCATGTCCATATGGGTGGACATACCAGCCACATATGATTGTTTCTAAAAGAGTCTTGTTTTCAAAAAAATTTCTAATGTTGCTTGTATCAGTACAGCCCCAGTAATGAGATCAGATTGATTTCTGTGTACTTTTTCCCCTCCTTCTGGAACAATTCACTGTCTGTTCTTTGCAGTGACCAGAACATTTGGTTTGGATAGCTACTAGAGATGTGCAAAAATACCAGCAATAATAATAATAACAACAACAACAACATCGACAACAAAAACAACAACAATTATAATTCAGTTTCAAAGTCGCAGTTACTGTTGTGAGTAACTATGCTCTGTAAGAATTCAAACAAATAATTAATTTGCATTATTTTTTGTACATAGTTATGTTCATATGCATAGCTCACATTTTTGGTCCGACTAAATCCCTTCTAAAATTTTGATGCTGAAGTGCGTAAACCCAAAATCTAGTGTACTCTCAAAATTTAACACTTGGGAGTTGTTGTAACTCTGACTGTCTTCAGTCATACTAATGAATGGAATATTAGGTTTGCTTCCTGTCCTTTTCTGTGTACCTCCAAGGAAAGTTTGCTTCAGTCTTCTGTGCAGTCTTCAACTACCTAATAGACAGCAGCAGGAAGTAGCTGCATTAAATTGCAAATAGCTTGCCACCCAACTATTTTGAATAGAATAATGTTTTCCCATTATCAGCAAGAAAGATAAAGAAGAATTATACAAAAAGAGCTATTTTCCCCAACTGCTAGACTCCTGAACAAGAAGTTTTTTCTGCCTATTGAGGAGACCACATCTCTTTAAGAAGATAACACCAAGCATTACTTCTGCTGAATTGTCAGTGTAATCTCAGTTGCTTTGGAGAGAAAACTTCCTACACATTAACCTTAGGGGAATCTGATGCCCTTGCATAGTTTGTGAGGATTGATTCCATTTTACTTTTCCTGATAGAACAGAAAATACAGTGAAACTACAGTATTTTATTTTGTAACATAAATGTAAGTTGTGAAATATTTTAGAGCAAGGAAAGTTGTTCTAAGCACTCACAGATCTCAATATTTGGATGAATGTGAAAATTCATAGGATGTGCAGAATTTTAAGGCAAATGAAGGGAAGAGCTTGTTTTTAAAAATCCAAGTGGAAGTAGCAGTGGAGAAAAAAGGGATAATGTGGCATCAAAATTATGCCTTTTTTGTGTGTTGATACTATTTGAAGAATTCCTCATTGGTAAAGGTCCCAGATCTGTCCCTGAAGTTCTTGAGACAACAGCTTTGGCTTATATAAAAGACAGCCTCCATCCGATGCAACCAATTTGGTTTCTGATTTCTCTGTCCTTCTAATTTTGCTGTTGTCCTCAGGAAAACTGTGACTTATTTATGTTATCATCATACTCATCAGTCACTGAGGTTCCAAATAAATGCAGTAAACTTTCTGAGTGTAACCCCCTCCCTAAGAACAATGTAAGTAATGGAAATTGGACTACAATGTATGAACAAAAAATAAATGCATCTTGCTAATGAAGCTTGGTAAGTCTCAGCTTACCATTTGCCTGCGTCATGTGCAATAAAAAGCTATGCCAGCAAAAAGATCTTTCTTTTTATGAAAGAAATGAAGTTACAAAAAAATATGACTTGATCTTCAGTGTACATTATTTTCCCGAGATAACTTTTTAATGTTCATTTCTTGTTACAGCTTAGTTGTAAGTGACGATGATGTGTGGAGAGACCAGTTTTACAATGGAAATATCAAGAAAGAAAGAGGTAATGAACACAATTCAGAATAATATGTTGCCACACTGTAACTTAATTTTCCATTGCAAAAATTAATTTTGATATGTCATGTAAGTATAATAGCACATACTAAATAGGCTTAATTTCATTTCTTAAGATATAAAACTTTTCTTCCTGGGAAAATCAGTCACAAACACATCTTAGTTAAAGAACTGAAGCCCTATGAACAGGTCTGCTGTGATTATGGCATATGTGTTGTAGGAGTATAATTTTTATTTTCACATGCAATTACAAAAATTATATTGAAGATTAGGGAAGTTTTCCATTGTTCTGCTAGCAAAGTTAGGATGGTGGGTACGCTATACCTGCTCTAAAAAAGAATGGAACGGCACAGCACAGCACAGGGAAATGTCATTCATTTATGAAAGTATTTATGGAAATTATTTATGTTAGTTCTTTCTTTGTTGCTAGCATCTTTGTAGTAGTTCTAGTATTAATGCAGTACTGGAATTTTACCTGTGTTTGCTGGTATGGTGTATCCAAGTTAAAATGTATCTGTAGTAAAGTAATATTTATGGATATTCTCTGCTACATGTTGAGCATTCACACTTATAAAAATGACAGATTAACTATGCATATATCATTTCTGCTTCTATAGAAACAGCACATAATAGGTTTTACTATGTGATTATTTTATTTTGCTGATACTCTGTTTACATGTAAACACGTGTCTTTATTTAAGGTGCAATAGTGCTACGTCTTGCCAGATCGTGGTTTCGTATAGGATCCTTAGAAATCTTAGCTCATTCTGGGGAACTGGACTTACAAAGGTTTGAATTTAATCTTCATAGTAACTATGTTAGTTGTCTTAACAATCAAATATTTACTAGAATGCATATATGTAGTTGGAATTTAGACATAAATTATTTAGAGAGAAAGATTGCAAAATTTAGAAAGATAACCTGCTGTTTTTCTACAAGCATACAAAAGATCTTGCCTCATATGAGTGAAACTCCCTAGCTGTTTTTGAAAGCCTGGATCTTACAAAATGAGAGAGGTTTTATAGCTAAAATAGATCTGATAACTAAGCAATAGGGACAAGTTGTTTATTTTGGAAAGATTTATAAATTTAGACTAGAAGTTCCTACATTTCTCATAGTTTTCACTGAAGCTAAATTAGCAGAAATATTAAATAAATCACTACCATAAGTATGTTGTATAAAATATGCTCTCCAGGAATATGCAGAACCAGAGTAGTACACCAGGTAATTAATTACTGCATGATTTTAAACCTCTTAGCAATATTATTTTGTGTGTGTTGTTCCATTTCAAGCCATTAGCATGACAAATTTTTAGTTCTGTAAATATGTAAAAGTTGGTCCTTTCTCCTCAGCAGCAATGTAGTGGCTGATAATCACTTGCAATAGAAATTGTTCTGGGGTGCTTAAAAATGAGCAAGAGCTCATAGCAGCAGTTGTACGTTGTGCTAACTGATAATTCAAGTTAACTTCCCACTCTACAGTGTCTTTCTTTCCCTTTTTTTGAAACATCACAGCAGGTTTTTGTTGTAAAACTGAAGGACTGACTTAAGGAACTGATTTTAAGATTAAACTGTTTTGAGGTTTTTTGGTTAAAGTATTTGTGATGCATTGAATTTAAGGAGCGTGTAAAGATCACGTGTACTCATGCAGAATAGATGACTACTTTCTGCCTGTTTTGGAGGGGGCCTCAGAAAGAGTCACCAAGAGCAGGCCAAGGCCTACTGACTGTGACTGTGCTTCCTCCTCGGAGAAGGTCCTCCTGAAAGAGGATGTCCTGGAGCAACCAGCTAAAATTCAGAGACATTGGACACCCCTCTAGAGGTCAGGTTGCTAAGTACTCTGATAAAACAGTTTGAGGAGAGTTCAGTGATTTGCTCCAACAACCTGATTAGAAGGTAAAATCTAGATATTGTTTGTGCAGCTGCACAACGTTTGCCCAGGTCCGACCTTTGCCCAGGTCCAGCCCTTGCCCAGGTCCGACCTTTGCCCAGGTCCAGCCCTTGCCCAGGTCCGACCTTTGCCCAGGTCCAGCCCTTGCCCAGGTTCAACCCTTGCCCAGGCTGCCTGCCCCACATGTAGATGGTGCTCACAGTTTCCTGTGCTAGTGGCCCTGGCTGGCTCTGACCACAGGAGGGTCCTACAGGAAGCTCCTAAATGTACTAAATGCCAGCTGCTCTGCTTTAAAGCTTTAGCTCTGTAAAGATATGCACCAGTCAAACATTGCAATTTTTAATGCATGTATCTCAGTTTCCTGAGCCTGTCTTGTCGGACTATGCAGCACTGTTTTGAGAATGGCCAGTTACTATGGCAAGTAACCCTACCTCATTAGAATTCAGCCATAAAATTTTCTTTGTGAGAATTCTGATGTAGAATTATTCCTTGAAATCATATATTTTTTTCTTTGGATACTCTATATTTTTTCCATAAAAAATTGACATTACTGCATCTGAAACCAGATCCTGGTATGCTCTGGAAGTTTAACACATGGGAATAATTTTAACTCTACCTGGCATATTCATGACTGGGACCTTAGGTTTCATCTATAAGCATTTCTTAATTCAAGACTTATTGGAATAAATAGGTTGAATTTTCTAATAAGTGGTTGCAGCAAGCTGTAGGTCAACATTTAGCTATTTGAAAACAAAAATTTTGAATGATCAGTTCTAAAAGAATTCTGCTTCTCATATTACAGAAGATTGCTAGACTTTGTCATCCAGGAACATTTTCCGTCAATAGCCATGAGTGATTCAAATAGATATCTGGTAAGTCTTTTTTTAAAGTTATTTATATTCTCCTCAAGCATGTGAACAAAAATTCTACAAAGCTTTTCAGAGTTTCAATATTTAAAAGGTTTTGAAATTTGAAGTAAGCTTCCAGGTTTTATTAGTGCAAGTTGATAATTTTCTTCAGTAAAAAAACTGCTTCTTGAAGGTTTTTTTTCTCATAGTCAAATATGAAAATTCTTCAGCACTTTTCATTATGGAAATGTTTCTTGGGAAGCTTCCATCTGCTGTTATTTTTTGTTCTCTTACTGCTCAGATTTTAAGTGAGCAGTGGTCATGAAGTGATGAATCATGCTTTTTCTCCTATAAATGTAGTATATATAGTATATAGAAGTATGTACACTGGTATATATAGTATCTTTGTTTCTTTTTTTGACTTTTTAATTTCTTTTAGGGCATCTGTATGTACTTATTCAACTCTAGTCTTTGCTGGATAAGGTTATTGTGCAGTCACATCACTTAGAATGTGAATGAGAAGTCCTGACAGAGATACACATTTAAAAATAGAATATATAACATATTTCTAAAGTGAATCAAATGTTTATGTTATTAATTCCATTCCATATTTTTGATTCAGAGGTCTTGAAGTAAAAGATGTATTTGATTTTAGGAATTCTTCTCTACAGTCGTATCAGAGACTGCAAATCTGATTGCATTGTGGATGTCTGTGGGGTTTGCACATGGTAAGCTGCTAAACAACGTTGGCTTTACAGGAGTGACTGTTTATAGCCATATATTTAAATATTACTTTTAGTTGTCACTTTGTTCTTCAGTTCTTCTGATATCTTTGCCTACAGCAGTATCTGTTACGCATTAATATACAAGTAAGTTTTTTCCTAACAGAGTTAGGAGCACTTTCTGCTCTTTCAAAGCATGACTGTATCTGACAGAAGAATTCTCATAATTTTTGTGATAGTCTGATGTAAAAAGACCATGTATTGATGTCAAACATAAGTTTAATTGCTCTGAATTTCATGCATCTACGTAAAAGCCTGACCTTTTATAGGAGATAGGATAAAGTGCTGACCACTTTTGTTTCAAATTTACATTATGAAAAAATCAAATAGCGTTGTCTTGCTAATACAGCATGCAGTCAACTTGCAAAGCCAGTTACCAGTTTGCAGGATGCTGTTTCGATGCTGCGTAGCACTGAAAGGAAAAGGAAACAGTGCCACCTAGGTATAGAAACCAGATGCAAGATAAGTTAGCAAACAGTTTCTCATTTTCATACTTAAAATGCATGCCAGGTCGAAAGTAAGAGAGACAAGTTTATTTTCCAGTGTCTGATTTCTGAAAGGTCACTGCTCCAAAGTTTTCTGGGCTCAGTGGATCTATTTCACAGCAAATTTGCTGAAGACTACAGGGTTCAGGTGGAATTGTAACTTTTGTTTCTCTTTGTTTAATTGTAGGTGTGTGCAATACAGATAACTTCAGTTTATTATCCATAACAATAGATTATGGTCCATTTGGATTTATGGACTCTTATGACCCAAGTGAGTGTAGCACCTGTTTTTCAGTATCATTTTTTGCTTAAAATAAATTCTTGTTGTTAATACATGTAGTTTCTGTGTGCATGAAAACTACTAACGTTATTAGCAGAAAAATCCCAAAAGATGTGTATTGCTTGAAGAGTTTTAGGGAAAAAAACGTATCAGAGGCCAATTTTATGATACAGTTTGCATTTCAAGTGCTAAAAGTCTTTTGGTGTTTTTCTGTTTAAACATCTGAATTTATTTTGTATCTTCAAGTAGGAAAATGTCACTTGTGACATGGGAACTTGTCTGTGAAGGATACATTTCTTAGATTTGCAAATAATCGATCTTGAGTTAATTCACTGTAAATAAGTATCCTTGTGATCTGATTTTAAATAGTATCTTTAGGGCTTTTATTAGTTTGCAGTGTAAGTGTAAAAATTAATGCACTTTGATATTTTAACATTGATTGTTTTTTGTAATTCATCTGTTGTGGATCAGTAATGTTTTGTTTGAAACAGATTTTGTTCCAAACACATCCGATGATGAAAAGAGGTATAAAATAGGAAACCAAGCAAATGTTGGGCTCTTTAATCTCAGCAAGCTGTTACAAGCTCTAAAACCTTTATTGGATCCCAGGCAAAAGCAGCTGTAAGTAATCCTTAAAATATCGTAATGCTTAAAAGAACTAGTGAGATGGGAGACCCTCTAATCACTGTATGCATAGGAAAGAAAGGGATTAGCTTTTAAAATCTTTTTTTCTAAGTGGAAATTGATTCTCAACTAATTATTGGCCAGAATAAAGTAGAGGGAGGGGGAAACTTTTTCATTGCATAAATAATAGCAAAATATGACTGGAAGGCAGTCCTAGATGTTGAGTGGCCCATTCCCTTTTCCCTCAGGTAGGACCTCTGCCTGTAGTTTTCTAATCTAAGTTTGCCAAGCTGGTTCTTTAAGATGCTTACTTATGAAGACCATACATCCTCCTGAAGTAATGAGTTAGTATTTTAATATCCTATTGTAAAGATTCCTAATATGAATCTTCTTTTGTGCAGTTTAACTCATGACTTCTTACTCAGTATGTAAGTAAAGAACATTATATTTTTTTTCCTTTGCAGCAGATCGTTATGTATTTGAAGCCTGTTAAAATGTTTCCCATCAGTCTTTTTCCCACTGCAGATTCCGGTTGATTCAGAATATCAGTGTTTGTGAGATATCAGATAGAAGTTTTTGTTGTTTAGTGTACAGTAAGGTTGTACCCACGGTAGTGTTGTAGTTCCATAGAATTTGACTTTTTTTTTTTTATTATTTTTCCAGAGCTTCCCAGATTTTGGAGGGATATGGTGAGCACTATTACACCCGGTGCGTAGTTCCAGATCTCAAACCTTGTAGTCACAATGCTATAAATTACATTATGTGACAATTTCCTTACTATGTTACTATTTTCAGTTTCACAGAACTATTCAAAGCAAAACTGGGTCTTCTTGGGGAGAATGAGGATGATAACTATTTGATTGCTTTCCTCCTAAAAGTGAGTTTCCTACTTTTGTTGGCAAACATCTGAACTGATGCCTCATATTTTAAAAACACTGATAGATGCATCTTTTTTCACTAGCTTATGGAAGATACAAAGGCTGATTTTACAATGACATTTTGGCAGCTCAGTGAGATTACTGAAGACCAGTTAAAGGAGCTCCGTATTCCTGAGGTATAGAAGCACCCAATTTTAGGAATACTCAATATAAAATGAGTAAATCAGGTTGGACATAACCATGGTATAATAGAGGATGTGTCAAGGCATGTTTTGCATGGGAAACCTATCACTGTAGCATTATTAAAGGACATGGAGACCTATTTGTGTCATACCACCACCCCCTGTTAAGCCTGTGTCTGGTAGTGAAGGATACGTGAACGAAAAGTGCTAATGAAAGATACATTAATGAAGAGTGCTGAAGTAAAATTTTCAACCACTGGTACAGGCCCAATATGAATAGTCATAAATATTTATATCACAGGTGGGAATGTGATTTTCTTCACATTTGAAACGGATCTGCTAGGAAGAACTTTCCTTCCTTCGCCCCACTTCTTTTTTCTTTGGTTTGCTTAAGAATACCTCCTGATAGTGTTTTTTAAGACACAAGTGAAGATGTGGACAGGACTTACAAGGAAAATTTCAACCTCAGGTCAAGCAAACAGTTCCTCACTTGAGTTTACCAGATGGCCTAAACCCCTGCTCTCGGTTCCATCAGGTTGGCTCAGTATCCTGTCACAAGCGAGATCCTATCTCATAAACTCTTGCTAGGATCTCAGCCCATAGTGGTCTCTGCCCTTCCTCGGGCACAAGATTGTTCCTAAACGTAGCTTAAAACATAGGAATACATTTTGTCACTGTGTCCTGCTATCGCATCCTGTGTTGCTGCTAACTCAGCCTAAACTTATTCTTCAGAACCAAGTATAACCATAAAAGAGATTAGAGTGTTAAAATATGAGATAAACCTCTTGCGTGGATTTAGTGAAATCTTTAGAAGTGAAAATATGACTGAAATGTTTGAACTGGACTGAGATGCTAGGCAAGCAATAATTGGATGAAAATGTAGAGAGGAAATTCTGAAAAGAAAGCCTTTAAGTACCTGATCTGGAAAGGAAAAAAGGAAGCCTTTTTGCAAGAGCCAAAAGCAGGTTTTTTATTTTTTTTTTCTTTAATACAATGTTTTTTCCATATGGGCAATATTGTTCACTTTGCCATGG